GAGGTACCGTGCAAGACTGGTGGTCAAAGGATATGCTCAAAAAGAAGGTATTGATTTCAATGAAATATTTTCTCCTGTGGTTCGACTAACAACAGTTCGAGTACTCTTGGCAATGTGTGCTACATTGAACTTACATCTAGAGCAGCTAGATGTTAAAACAGCTTTTCTTCATGGAAATCTTGAAGAAGAGATTTATATGCTCCAGCCTGAAGGTTTTGAAGAAAAAGAAAAGAAGAACTTGGTTTGCAGGTTGAACAAATCTCTGTACGGTCTAAAGCAGGCGCCGAGGTGTTGGTATAAGAGATTTGATTCCTTCATTATGTGCCTTGGATACAACAGACTTAATGCAGACCCTTGTGCTTATTTCAAGAGGTCTGGTGATAACGATTTTGTTATATTGCTGTTGTATGTGGATGACATGTTGGTTGCAGGACCCAACAAAGATCATATTGAAGAATTAAAGGCACAACTGGCTAGGGAATTTGAAATGAAGGACTTGGGATCAGCAAACAAGATTCTAGGGATGCAAATTCACCGAGACAGAAGTAATAGGAAGATTTGGCTTTCACAAAAGAATTACTTGAAGAAGATCTTGTCACGATTCAGCATGCAAGATTGTAAGCCAATTTCTACTCCTCTTCCTATTAACTTCAAATTATCCTCCAGTATGAGTCCTAGCAGTGAAGAAGAGAGGATGGAGATGTCTCGAGTACCGTATGCATCAGCAGTGGGAAGTTTAATGTTCGCTATGATATGCACAAGACCAGACATTGCACAAGCAGTGGGAGTGGTTAGTCGGTACATGGCGAATCCAGGCAAAGAGCATTGGAATACAGTAAAGAGGATCCTAAGATACATCAAGGGAACCTCAAATGTTGCATTATGTTACGGAGGATCAAACTTACTAATAAATGGTTATGTAGATTCTGACTATGCAGGGGATTTGGATAAAAGCAAATCTACTACAGGATATGTGTTCAAAGTTGCTGGTGGAGCTGTAAGCTGGGTTTCAAAATTGCAGTCAGTTGTGGCTACATCCACAACAGAGGCAGAATATGTAGCAGCTACACAAGCCAGTAAAGAAGCAATTTGGTTGAAGATGCTATTGGAGGAGCTTGGGCACAATCAAGAGTATGTCTCTCTGTTTTGTGACAGTCAAAGCGCCTTGCATCTAGCAAGGAATCCAGCATTTCATTCAAGAACAAAGCACATACGAGTTCAGTACCATTTCATTCGTGAAAAGGTTGAAGAAGGAACGGTAGATATGCAGAAGATCCATACCAAAGACAACATAGCAGATTTCATGACGAAGGCAATCAACGCTGATAAATTTACCTGGTGTCGATCCTCTTGTGGCCTGTCAGAGACGTAAGCAACATGATGGTACAAGGTAGAAAGAATGGTGTGAAGATATGATTGTTCCAATCAAATCTTCAAGTGGGAGATTGTGGAAAAATCAAAAGCAGCCGGCTGCTGATTTTTTGTTTTTTTATTATTATTTTTGTTGAATTATGCAAGGGATAATTACAACATTTAATCATTGTACTTTAGGGTATTTACAAGATTAGCCCTTAGGTTTCAACTATAAATACCCTAGCTCATTTAGCTTCAAATCATCCCAAAGCATTCTAGCTTTCTTCCAATACTAGAGAATTTAGAGAGTTTCTTGAGAGTTGTTTTCTTCTTTTTATCAAGAGAGAATTATCATTGTTTTCTCCTTGGTAGATAGAGAGAAGTTGTAATTCCTATTTTCTCATAGTGAAATTTTTCTACCGTTGCCCGTGGTTTTTACCCTATATTATTTAGGGGTTTTCCACGTAAATTTTGTGTCTCTTTTATATTCATTTTTATTTTCTCAAATTATCAGTTGTGATTTTGCTCTATCCGATAGCCGTCTTACGCAACATTTATTGGCCAAAGCAAGTCTAGTATTCCTTGACTCCTCTGCAATGGCCAGAAAAATTCGAGCCATGGCTTATAATGCTGAAGAACAGGTTCGGGCACGAAAGATTGAAGAGTCATATCTTGTTCAACTTGCTGGAAGGACTACCCCTAAAGGCCTTCACTGTCTCTCCATGCAGTTGACAACTGAATATTTTTCCCTTCAACCCGAGGAAAGGCAGTTCCCTAACCAAAATAAATTGAATTATTCAGACCTTTATCACTATGCAGTATTTTCTGACAACGTCCTGGCTTGTGCAGTGGTTATTAACTCCACAATTTCATCTGCAAAGGTGAACTGCCTTTTCCAATTTTGATTCTTTGTTTTGTTGTTTTTTCTATAAATTTAAATATAGTATTTTGTGATGTTAAATATTGTTGCTTGTATAAAGCGTTCGTCATCCTAAACAACCACATAACAAAGTTTTAGCGATAAATCATACGGTGATGCTTTGTGGGATGTGGTCTTACATTTCTGGAAAACAATTATACACTTGTAATTTATAAATAATTATAATGGATTGAGCTTTTCGAAATTTGCCATGGAGTTCTTAATCCTTTCCTTTATACAATAAGCTTATCCTAACATGCCATTAGATCAATTTCCTCTTTAAAAAAGCCAATATTTTCTGTCATTACTCCCCTTACTTTGATGAGTTAGCCACAGTTAGCTCCGGATTGGCCCCATGATTTACCTGTTAGCGGATGTAATATAACCTGGTTAACAAATAATTGATTGTGCAGGAGCCAGAGAAAAATGTTTTTCATGTGGTGACCAATTACCTCAACCTGCCAGCAATTTCAATGTGGTTTTTATTAAATCCTCCTGGCAAAGCTACAATTCGTATTCAAAGCGTAGAAAGTTTTGATTGGTTGTCTACCAAGTATAATTCAACATTGAAGGAACAAAAGTCCTATGATCCAAGATATACTTCATCTCTCAACCATCTGCGGTTTTATCTGCCAGAAATCTTTCTGTTCTCTTTGATCATGATGTGGTAGTGCAAAGAGATTTAACAGGAATTTGGAGTGTTGTCATGAAGGGGAAAGTAAATGCATTTGTGGAGACTTGTCAGGATAGTGAAGCTTCATTTTGTACGATGCATATGTTATTGAACTTTTCAGACCCATTTTTGGCAAATAGGTTTAATGCTAATGCTCACACGTGGGCATATGGTATGAATTTGTTTGATCTCCAAGAATGGAGAATAAAAAAGTTAACCATGCTCTATAGAAATTACTTGCAACTGGTATGGGGCAAGCATTTTTCTTCCTCTGTTTTTCTTTCACTTCGTGCTTATATGCTTGTGAATTTATTTTGGGTTTACTGTAATCTGAAGCTGCATGTTGACTCATTGAGAAGATTGTGAATGTTATCTGGTGCTTTAGCTTGTCTTTGTCAATTGTTATTGTTATCAGCTGGAGAAACTGAGATTTTACGTAAAGTATATGTGTCTAAATTTTCAATTTATCTTTCTTACCCGTTTTCCTCTGTTCCCCCAACCCCCCAGAGAGTTCTATATCTGTCTAAATAACTAGCTTTGTCTTACTGTGAATGGTGAACAATGATAAACAGAAACCTTTGTGTGTTTGAATTTATTCTGCCCTAGGAATCAGTATCATCTAATTTATACATTCATACTAGTTTGAAGTATTTTGAACCCTGTAGTATATCTGCTCATAACTTGATTTAATTAATGTATTTATAGTCGATTCAATATTCCAAAAATAATCTTTTATGAATGTAAAACTTGTTCCCTGTGCATCATAGTCTGACATCTGTTGTTTGCTTCCTGATGTGTCCACATCATAATTTTGAATTGACATCCTTTTTTGTTTTCTTTTTCAGCTGTATTGTTCTATTCTGATGAATCCATGTTAATTCAAAGCTGGTTGTCAAAAGATTTATTGTGAACTATTTTCACTTTTATGTTATAGCAATGTATTTATTGTTGGTATCCAACATGGTGCATGCTGTATGTTTCTCATGCTTGTTTGCATGGTGTTTGTTTTCTGTGACAGGGACTTAAGAGGCCATTGTGGAAGGCAGGAAGCTTGCCCTTAGGTTGGATGACCTTTTACAACCAGATTGTGGCTTTAGAAAGGAGATGGCATGTGCTAGGGCTAGGCTATAACTCGGGTCTTCGGAGGGGTGATATTGATCAGGCGGTAGTTATACATTACGATGGAGTCAGGAAACCCTGGTTGGAAATAGGAATTGCTAAATATAAAGGCTATTGGAGCAAACATCTGCAGTACGACCACCCTTACTTGCAAAAGTGCAATATCCATGAATAATTGAAGATCACAGCATACAAGTGGAGTTATTTGATTCATGGCACATTACCAGTTGCATCACTCAGAAACTTTTCCTATTGATCTGATTCTTTAATGAGCTTTCGTGTAATTTTTAACTCAATTTCCCCCCATAGTAGTTCAGGCTGTAGTGATATTTCAGGGATTGAGTTACTAGATTTGTGGCAGTGACCATAGTTAATAAGTTTCTGTAGGATGCTGCGTTGCAGGTATACGTTTGTCCATGATATAACTTTTTATTGTTATGGAGATGTTTTCACTTTCAGCCTCTTGTTCTTTAATCTGAGGTTGCATCTCGTATTCATACTTTTCATGGCCATTTGCTAATATGTAGTGGTATTCATTTTCAGGATGCTTCAGATGGAAATTGCCATTTTAAGTACAGTTATGGTACAAATAAAGGCACTTAACTCCTTGGACGACGAGCAGGTTCCTCGAAAAAGGAAGAGTCGAAATGCCTTATACGGAAGTTTTTTCTCTCTTCTCAAGTATAAGTGTAACATCTATTTGCCGATATAATTTAATTCAGTTGATTAAGAATATATTTATACGTCGACAAGTCGATAGTTTCATTTGGTGGGTGATTTTTAAGTATTAAGTTTAATACATGAATAATTTATAAAGCTCTTGAAAATGTCATTAATTTGAGGTCCGGTAGCTTTGTCGTGTTATGATTTGAACAGCATAGAGCACTCTTGGATCAATCTTTGATTTACTGGAAGGATGATATGACACGTGGATGAAATTGGTTGGGCATATGTAGATAGGGGATATCAAAACGAATGGCTATTGTATCTATATCCGTCTGGTGTGATTCTGGACCAATTAATATTTGTAAACTTCGTTCTAAAAAGTAAATGAGGTAAACTGGTACCCTTTGGATCCAACTGCCATTGTTGTTGCAAAGTCTCTCAACTGAGCTAAGAATTCATGGCAACCATATCGGCTACAGCCGGCGCCACCCCTACAGCTCTTGAACACAATCCATTGCCAAGGGTTGCATCCCCAGTTGTCATTGGTAAGAGTTTTATTGTATTCTTTCCTCTCTCTTTTTTTTTGGTCATTTTCATTTTCAGCTCAAACTGCATATTTACTTCCAGGGTTGCCAACAATGACAAAGAGGGGAAACGTGAAGATGATGTGCAGCATGGAGAAGAGGACCACCTCGTCTTCGCAGGAGAACGGCTCAGCCATTGGCACGACTGCATCACTGCTTGCAGCAGCATGTGCAGCAACCGTGTCGAGCCCCGCCATGGCACTGGTGGACGAGAGAATGTCCACTGAAGGAACCGGACTTCCCTTTGGATTGAGTAACAACCTTCTGGGGTGGATCCTGTTTGGTATATTCGGCCTGATCTGGGCACTTTACTTTGTCTACACCTCCTCACTGGAAGAGGATGAGGAGTCTGGATTGTCGCTCTAAAAGGTATAAAAGCCAAACCCTTTTTTCCCCTTCGGTTGTTGTTCATTGCAAATATCATATGCGCTCAGAGGAATTCAGGAAATGGAAAATTAAAGGAGTTGGGCTTTCATATGTTGTTTCTCCATTGATGCTTGTTTGGGTTTCATGGACATGTATAACAGAGTAACCTCGTTTGCTTCCTTCCTCAGCAATAAAGTTTGTAATTCTCTTGTAATTAGAACAACAAATTAATTTGTAATAAACTTTGATAAAATTTACCTTCACCAAATATCACGATGGAAATATTTTTGACGATTTTCTTCTAATATGGTTAGGAACAATGGACTTAGTCTTGAATGTACAATTTTTGCCTTCATATCTCGTAAGTAGAGATTATTAGTAGTCAGAATAAACAATTTTGGTCGCCAACATTTTAGTTGGTCCAAATTTTAATCATGCAAAACATATTGGATTCATTCTTTATGAAACTTTAATTTAAATGTTTAAAAGAATTAAGAATTTAAAATAAAAATATTTGAATCATTTTAAATTATTAAAATCGTGTTTGAGAATAGATTGAACCCAATAAAATCAAATCTAAATGTTGAAGGACTCAAAACTTCATCAATAATTAATTTCATCAATGTGTCATTGACTGAACCGTGTATTTTTTAAAATAAAAAATATTTTATTAAATTGTATTTCCGTCGACTCCAACTCCATTATTATCCTACATATTTCATTTTAAAATTTATATTCAGCTAAATATAGTTTAATTTTGATAATATTCCATTCTCGTAATTATCAGTCAGTTTCCCATCTTTCAAAATTCCACACAACCGAGGCCGTCGCTGCCCAGTGAAAGCCCAAATGTGACTTGGTGCAAAACCTAACTTGTGTTGTTGCAGAAGTAAATGCGAAAGCTTGAAGTACTGTAACAGAATCAGCGCCTGCTGTCGGCCTTTCCTGTTGTTTGGAACGGCGATGTTCGCGCTGTGTTGTCTTTTCAGTTTGACTTAAGCGACTGTCGGCTGAACTATAATAAAGGCGTTTATTTCATTCCTCACTTGTTCTTTTCCAATTCCGTAAAAAAAAAAACTGAGAAAAAACAGCGTTTGTATCGTTTTTAATTGGCAAATTAAAATTGACAAATGAGCTAACATACGGCTTTTTGAGAGAAATAATGTGAAGAAATTTTAAAGCTTAGTGTATCAGATCAATTATAAAATTATCATATGATGCTGACTTTGAACAAAGTAAGTATGCTTCGATAATAGATGATATTTTTTTAAATATCAAAGTCATGAGTAGTTACTATCAGCTTTAGAGTCTCGCAACTAAGAATGGCAAAAGAGAAAAAAAAAATCAGGTTTGCATTTCGAACCATGAAATTTTAATTAATATTAATTAAATTTTTTATTTTATATGACATATATTATAAACAAGTACTAATATAAATATGAATATAATAAAATAATGACAACATACGTATTGGAATTTTCTAATTATATTTTCAATTACCGCAATTTTCTAAATAAAAGATAAAATGACCTAAAATCCAAAATATATTTTAGAAGGATATTATTTACCTAGAAAAACCTCAATATTAAAAGCAATATTTGTCCTTTTGCGTTTTTTTAATTTAATTTTATAGTTTAACGTTGTATACGTACCAAGACTAAGGGTAAAAAGGTAAATAAACGTCATTAAAACAAACCAGGCAGCACGCTCCTCTCGCTATAGTATATTTTTTAATTTTCCATTTATAGGTTCGGAAAACAGGCGCCAAAACTAGCCATTTTCTCCCGCCCCGCCCGCCTCTTCCCGACCAAACCCTCCCTCCTTTATTTTCAACCTCTCCTTCCTCTCCACTCTCCATCCAAAATCTCTCCCTTTTATCTTTTTTCCCTCTTTACTCCATTTTTTACGTTTGCCAAGCGGCGATGCATCACCCACAGCCACACATTTCCTCTTCAGCCTCCGCATACTCTGCCGCCGCGGCCTTTGACTTCAAGCCTGCCAAACGCCGTGGCAGTTACAATTGTGGCAGATGTGGACTTCCTAAGAAGGGCCATGTTTGCCAAGTCAACAGTGGCACCAGCCCTACTTCAACTTCCACTCCAACCTCGAGTCCAGCTGCCAATACCATCGAAAACTCCTCCTCCGCATCCCGTCTTCCTCAGCCTCCTCCCCTACGTCAGTCCTCTCATCTCCGGCGTGCGCTTTCCTTTGACGACATCGACATCCGCTGTGACTCACCGGAACGCGATTTGGACGGCTATGATTCTCCCCATCCGGATACGTATCTTGATCCGGATGATGAGATAGTCTCCGGTGGGTTGCTGGCTGGGTGTTTGTGGGAGGTCTTGAGGAGATTACCTCCGGCCAGTCTGCTGGCGGCGGCGGGCGTGTGCAAAGGTTGGAGGGAAACGACAAAGAGGCTGTGGAGGGCCGCGGCGGAGCTGAAACTTATGGTCCCACCTAGGGGTCAGCTCAGATTCATGGGATTGGTTTTAAAGAAATGTCCGAGCCTTGTTAGACTTTCTCTAAAGATGGAAAGGTTCAGCTCTAAGCCAACATTTGACAGATCTAATATTTTAACGGCTGGATCGGTTCATACCAACGAAAATCAAAATAAATTCATGTAAAATGAGAATTAATCTGGTTATAATATAATATAACGATATACAAGCAGTAAAATAATGTGGAAACTGATCCATAATCAGTAACGCCACGAGAATTGCCTTTCTGTGCTCAATCTAAGCACTGCTCTAATTGTGTTATTTTTTTCTGCAAACGTTTTATAAAATATCCTACAATCACGAGCTTGAATCAATGCTATAAGGGGCTGGATTAACTTTGGAACAAAAATTTGATCTGAAAATGTCTTAATTCACTTTGAGGGATGCTTCTCAGTGTTGCTTTTGGACTTTTGTTACCCTTTGTTTTACTTATTATTTTTTCTCATTCGCGTTTCTTGCAGTGACGTGGATGCGACAATGCTGGCCTGCATTGCGTTCTCTTGTCCTCATTTGGAGTCCATGGAGATTTCTACGTCGAGTAGGGCTGTCAATCGGATCACAGGGTATATTTTCTACTCTCTCCCCCTTTCCCTTGTAATTTATCGTTAGATCTTTAAACAGTACGTCAGTTGCTCAGTTGATAAACTTTGCTACTATTGTTATTATTGCTTGATTGTTGGTACTCGAAATGGTTTAGATATCTAGCTCATTGGTTGAAATTTATCGGTATTTTGACCACTAAATTAATTGGAAGCTTTGAGTGACTGAAAGGTTGAAGTTAGGGATATATATATATAGTTGTTTGGTCCTGGTTAACCTTTTCCTTACCTTTAATTTGAGATGCTATGTTAAAGATGAAAAATTCATAAAGTTATGTATACCCTGTTATGGATTTATTGGTGTTGTGACTCTTGTTGATAAGTGTTTTATTTCCTGCTGGATAAATGAAAGATTAAGTGTTTCTGATTTACTTTGATCAATGTTTTATTTATAGAGATGAATTGGGTCGATTTGTTGCTGATAAACGCTGTCTAACGAGCCTTAAGATGGAAGGATGTTCTAATTTAGGGGGCTTTGTCCTCTCTTCATCAAGTCTATCTACTCTCTGGCTTTCTGATCTTTATTCCCTTTCTAAGATGGTAACATTTTCATCAGGTCTTTATTGTATTTTTAAGTTTAAACCTTATGGGGCATGCAAGTGAATTTGTGGTGTTTATATATGTGCCTTCTATTGTAGGTTTTTAACTGTCCCAATTTGAAAGAGATATCCTTAGAATTTTCTTGCCAAGAAAATGATACGACTGATCTTACAACCATGGTTGATGGTATGGGCAGAAGTTGTCCAAAGTTGCAAAACATACACATTGCATCGCTTCGGCTTTCACATGCTGTTGTGCTTTCTCTTACAGCTGCTAATTTGAGGTTTGTGGAACCTTTTGGTCTATGCATTCATTTTAATCATGTATAATTTATGAATCTATTGACGTTGCTTTGTTTTATCAGGAATCACAGTGATTAAATGGACTTGTTTCGTTCAGTTTCAGGCATCTTAGCATTTAGAGGGTAAATAATCATTAGTTTAATAAATGTTGTCTATTATTCAGGGGCTTGCGAATGCTTTCACTTGTTCTTGGCTTGGAAATCACTGATGCATCTGTTGCTGCTATTGCTTCAAGCTATTCAAGATTAGAATTGCTTGATCTCAGTGGGTATGTTTTGCTCCAGCTTTAATAAATTTTTCTGCTTATCTGGGCTGGTTCAGCTACATGATCCTGTTGTTTGTTGCTTCATTTCAGGTCTAGCATCAGTGATAGTGGCATTGGAATGATCTGCAATGTTTTCCCGAACACGTTGTCAAGACTCCTTCTTGCTCTTTGTCCCAACATAACTTCAAGTAATCATCATGTCTAAAAGACTCACACATACGTCACTGGCACAGCTACATTTAGCTATTCACTAACATGTTTCTCTGCACTTTGCAGGTGGAATTCAGTTTGCCACAGCTCAACTACCTCTTCTTGAACTTATGGATTGTGGGATGACAATATGCGATCCTGATTCCCAGAATCCACCTTCTGAACAAAGTGGTGACGACAGTGAAGTTCCAAATGCATTGAACAATAAACTGCACCTTATGTACCAGAAGCTTATTATCAAACACAGCCGACTAAAGAAACTCAGCTTGTGGGGTTGTTCTGGCTTAGATGTGAGCTCTTTTAGTCCTTAATCTTGAGTACGTTGCTAGTTTATCCTTAATATCCTATGTGGTTCTTATTTGTGAATCTCAATGCAGGCTTTATGTTTGAATTGTCCTGAACTCAAAGACCTTAATCTCAACTCTTGTAAAAATTTGCATCCAGGTATGCTCAGCTTAATCTATCTGCCAGTTTGGCCAGTTGAGTATGCTCAGCTTTTCTTATGGTTTAAGAAGTATCCAATAAACTGTTTGTTTTCATAGAGAGATTGCTCCTTCAATGCCCAAGTTTACAAAATGTGCATGTCTCCGGATGTCAGGAGTTGTTAGTTGGAGCCATCAAAGGCCAGGTAAAACAATAGTTTCATTGAGCTCCATTTTCCACATGTTAAAATCAAGTCTTCAGACTGCAAAGGTCATCCCATCACATCCCCTACCAGTTGTTTTTGCTGTTGTTTATAAACCTTGTGCTATTGGTTGTAATGGTAGGTAAGTGATAGCATAACATCTCTGGAAAACCAATTTCAACTTAAGCGATCTGCTGATGGCTCCAAGAGGGTTCGTGCACCGGATTGTCTGAGTCCACAGGTAATAGTTCCATTATAGCAGAAGCCAGTACGAAATATGAAACTCATATGGGGGTGAATGGATTGACTGTATTTTACTCTGTTAGCTAATTAAAGTGTTTACTTTTGCAGACAAGTGATGGTAAAAAACGAAGGAGGGTAATGGAACGACAATGTAATGTGCATGTTGGCTAAAAATCCCCATTTTTGTAACCTCTACTTTACAGCATTTTTTTTCTTATTTATTTTTAAAAAAATTGTGCACAAATTGTACTGTTGCCATATTTCGCAAGGCTAAACACTAAACATTTGGTTACCATTTCAATAAATATGTCCCTTATGGACTTTTAATAAAAGAAGTGATATTATAATCCGTGAAAATGAAAGATTTGTTTGATCCAAACATCAATTGGACCATACGAAAATATGTTACAATTAAGAGAAATTTGATGAATAGGTGAAGGCAGGCGACTTCATCAAATAACTCCTTGGATTGTTGAATCACGATCACCTGTGAGCTCAACTTGCTAGACATGATGTAGCTGTAGCTTGCATATGAAATGAATTCAGAAATTACTTGGTTGTTTACATAGATTCGGTGTCAAAGCTTTGCTTATTGGATTCAAGAGTGTTGGATGTAGGAATCTTTTCCATATATTTGGAGGCAAGGATGTGCATGACATTCACATCTTGACGGATTTGAGTTTGATCTTATAGGGTTGAGTTTTTTATATTCAAGTAGAATTAGGATTTTTTAGAATAAGATCGAATTAAAATACTTGATTTGATTAGAGATAATAATATAATAGTTCATTATATATTTAAGAATAATTGTAAGAAAGCCATTATAATTTTTTAATTTGACCCTTATTTTATCGAATAAAAATAAATTATATATATTCGTGTTGGGTTTAGATTAATTGTAAGTTTTACTCCAAAAATAAATCAAATATTAAGTCGAACAGAATCTTTTTAAACCTAGGTTAGATCATACTTCAATTTTTTTTTAATTAACTAAAAATTTGACCCAACTTAACTTATACTCTTCTATTTGGAGGCCAACCCATCTCTTCCTTCTTCATTTCCTTCTTTTATAAGACCTAAAGGTTTTCATTTTGTGAATCAATTAACTTATTATAAATTTAAATAATTATCAAATTCATATATGAAATAATTTGATCATAAATTTCATTATACAATAATTATTATAGGTAAAAGATATCATTTTTTATTTATGTTCGATATTTACTGCTCATTATTGTTATAAAAATAATTTATTTTTTAATTCGACTAAAGAATAAAAGTCAAATACTATGTATGGACACACATGACCAAGCCATTTAAGCCAGTGGGCATTAATAAATGGCCACATCAGAGTGTTCCCTTCGCATTACCAGCCTCTTCGTCCTACCTCAGTCTTCCACGACTCCGAATATATAAAAATACAAATAATTAAGGAACAAAAAAAATATAACTACAAACACATACATTATTCATTTATTTATTTATAACGAGTATCTTTTTATAGTAAGCAAAGCCATAATCAATAATATAACTCATAACAAAGCTTAAAGACGACAGCCCAAAGTTCTTGCCACAAGACGTACAGCAAAATATTCACGTTTCTGTCTCTGTCCGTATTCCATAACATCAAATTCTTAATTACCACTATTTTATATCACATCAACTTATAATATTTTAATCCTTAATTAACACAAAACACCCTGATGATTATTAATAATTATAGAAAATAATAGAGTCAGCCTGCTCCATTCATCCATGCATCCATCTGCTGCCTGCCTTTTGCATGTTATGATGATGATGATGTGATGATATGCGCGTGCAATGTGCATGCATGCATGCAGTAGGCGTCCACAAAGATCAACAAGAGCAGATTGCTCTATCATTTCCCTACTTCAGCTCCTCTTCTTGCATTTCTCCACAGCTTTTGGTGCTGAAATCAAATCCATTAACATTTTTTTATTTGATTAATCCAATGAAGTGAAATAAACAAAGGGTTCTGTTTTTAGTTAATTCTTTTAAAAAAACACTAACCAAGTCCGATTGCCTCTGTTCCTTTCATTATGCGCAACCTTTTGCATGATTCCACGAACATCCTATATCATAACAAAACTAAAATATAAATTAAGTTGATTTAATATGAAAAATAGTCAGGATAATTATTAAATGATAAAATATGTTTTCAATAAATAAATAAATTTGGATGGTCGGAGTGATTAGGGTAGGGATATGGGTACATACTCCCAAGGGACATCACCAACAAGCATCCAGTCACCATCCTTGTCCTCATAGGTAGGAACATAATCAGAGCCATTAAGGAGATCCATAAGCTTGCTCTCATTCATGAAATCCTTAAGCCCTTGGGATCCACAATTTCCTTCATTTTTCTCAACATTATTAATTAATCACTATCATATATATTAATAAAATTGTCTATTGAAATTATTTTTTATTATAATATTTTTAAATATAATAACATTGGCACGTTAACAAATGTGAAAAAAATTCAAATGTAAGAGTAATAATAATAGAAGTGAGTAAAAGTAAGTGGTGAATAATTTACTAACCGATAGTGAAAGAGCTGAACATTTTGGCTAAAGCATCAGAAAGTTGGTGGTAGCTTGTGTACAACCTCAAGTCCACCTTGCGGAGGTATGGCGCACCGTCCATGCTAACCTTCACGAACGCCACCTTCTCAATGCCGCTCTCGACGCTGCTGCTCTTTTGGGTGGCGGTGGTTAAAATGTTCTTTCGGAATGATCGGACTGGTGGCCATCCCACAACATACGCTCTAAAATCATGTAATTCATTCATTAATTAAACTATATACATGTTAACCTTCATTTTTACATTTTAACCAAAAAAGAGGAGAATTTTCATTTTTTAACGTAAAAATATAGTATGAAAAAAAGTAAATTAATCAAAATATTGACGGAAAATTTATTTCTATAAAAATAAAACCGACACGGCCCGTTGATGATCGATGGAACCTTATTATATATATATATATATACCTTGCTTTCTCTATCCATATATTTGAAACAGAATAACGAGAAAAAAAATAAAAATACGTAGCAGATTTAATTTTTAGGTTCTTTTAGTTATGAAATTGGTGAATTAGACCACAGTTCATATTTTTTTTATAATTATTTTTTAAGCTTCTTTTAGTTTTGGTTAGAGACGGATATAACATTTGGACTTGATAATTTTTTATCTGAATCGATTTTATAGGGTTATTTAACAATATTTTATTTTCAGATCGGGTAAAATCCAGACAAGAAATATATATATTGATTCGACCGGATATAATAGTATGATATTTTCCTATATATTTATTGATAATTGTTATGGTCTATTTCTATTTTTATAAAATAAAAAAATAAGAATAATTACTATAAATACCTTTCTTTATATATCTTTCTTATAATTCTCCTTTTTTTTTTAAATAAAATGGTGAAATTTTATTTTTTTGGGCCAGGGGTGAGTGTTAACTCTAAAATTTAGATCGAATGAAACATCATTAGGTGTCAGGTCGAATATAAATTTTAGATTTACAAGCTGAGTTTTGGCCGGTCAAAAACTCAACTCATGTCTGTATCTAATTTTGACGCTAGGCAAAGTAAATCTTGACTCGTCAATTTTGAGTTTAATTACTTTTAAATATTTTTAATTTGAAAAATAAACAAATCAGATCCTAAAACTCTAATTTTTTTTATTTTAATTGATGAATTAATAATTGGACTTTGACCATTCTTTATTTTTATTTATATTTTTTCCTTAAAGTTTCGTCATGATTTTATCCGTCGACTCCAACAAATGATTTACTTGTACTAATTCTGCATGGAATATTAGGTTGATATTTTTCCTATTGTTCCTAAAAAAAAGTTAATTAATATTGTTCTGAGATGAGAATAATTTTGTCTTCTCTTCTTAATTTTGTAACTATATATCACACATCTCATTTCAAAATGAATTACATAGATATAATTAAAATAAAAAAAGAATTACGTCTGAAAAATATGTTCTAATTAAGTTTCCACAATGATATATATATATATATCCGCTTCAAATATCCAAAGTTGTTCGTGATTATGTACACCTCTGCCTCTCTTTTCTGATATAATATGTAAGAGATGGTTTCTCGAGTACCGAATAGCCCAAATCAGTCACGCAATATTCATGCTTTAATATAAATTCCCCGGGAAGAACTAAACCATTTTTTATAAGAAAAAAAAAACACCCAGAATTACTTGAACAAGAAGAAGACAAGGATGAAAGCACAACTTACTTGGCGGGAGGCTTAGCAGGATCAGTTGCAGAAAGGAGAAGATTCTTCTCCTTGTTCAGACCAGTCACCTTCTCATCATTGGGATCAATCCCAGAGGGGTCCTGCTTCGAGGAAAGATTAAGCTTCAAATCGACAGTCTCGGAGAATCCTCTTTTCCTCACAACTTCACCGCCTTCTCCTCCTCCACCGGGCAACCCTAGCCTCAGCTCAGTCTCTTCGAACCCCATCTTCTCGTTCTCGCACCCTCCAAAGTGATCTCCTCCTCCTTTCATACTCATCATCTTCAGCCCAACCTCCATAACCCTTTCTTTCTTCTCTGATGGTTGCTTGCCCCGGTCTTGGCTTTGGCTTTCAGGGTTTTTGAGTTTGGTTTGATGCTTCGAACTGAAACTTTTGAAAGTGAAGAAGAAAAGCAGGGTAATTAGATGATTGAGAGATGAACACTAATAATAATAGCAAACGTTAGAGAGTGTTGGATGGGAGGGCTATTAATAATGTTAACGTAAGAGTGCATTGTCGGTTTTTACTGTTGATTTAAGATTGGGGATGTGGACACGTGGCAATACCTGTGAGCTGGATTATCCTAACTTGCTGGGATAGGTGACGACAAGGTGAGGTTGGCATCCTATGATTGTGTTATTCCTGTGTACGAAAAGAAAGAAAGAGTGAGTCGACAACCCTCGTTGGCTGCCGCTCCTCTCCTCATTTTTTAACTAGCCTTTGTCCCACCCTCTCTTTTTTAATTTAAATAACTTCCTTAACTCAGAATTGGGATATTAATCGCACTATTTTTCTCAAAAATAAATTATTCCTTTTTACGATTAGATATAATTATCTTAGTAAAGTTCAATAAAGAAATAATCATGCACTACACGTATTAAACTTCATATGTATAGACAAAGAAGAAGTTGTTAAAGAATTGTAATTCAGTTCTTTCATATTTAAATATTTAATACTCATTTTATCCCAAAAAAAACTTAATACTCATCAATAATTTCTAGAGTAATTGGTTAAAAGCTTTCAATTAACACATCCCATCTCCCATAGGTTGTGAGTTCAATATCCACTAGGAGCAAAATTTTCTTTCGAGTAACTTCAGTGGTTAAATGAAATATTATTTTCTCTTGAATTTCTGGGTACGAGTAGCTACGTATATAGAGAGTGTGTACGTTACCAATGATTAAAGAAATATTATGAACATATACTATCTTGTAGTAATCATTTAAAACTATTATAAAATATTTACTATTTTGATGTAAAATTTAATTTTTCTTGATATTTAATTATAATTTTGTATTTATATATTGAGTAATATAAAATTTAGTGCTTAGAGAGATGGGACGAAAGAGAAGCATATGTTGGGGGTGGTGGGCAGTGTTTACATTAATTAGACTGTCTTCCAAAAGGAAATGCGTGCTCAAAAGGAGAAACCATGAACACCAATTTGACTATGGCATTGGCACGCACAAAAAGGGATTCTCTATGCTTAATTTCCATCTCTAATATAGTGTAATCTGATATATTTTTATGTCATATGATCGTGTTTGGTCAATATTTCAAATTGCATGTACACATGGAGGCCACGATCCCGTTACATGTATCCCCACTTACCATTGCATTGTACGTGATAAGATCTTTACAGTTATGTTAACGAAACTATGATCTTTCCTTGGGGGAGGTTCAAGATATTTACGCTTCATCAACTAGCAAATATTAACAATAATACTCGGTATTTTCTTTGGGATAACAAAGATATTTAATTTAGATCGATTGAAATAATATTTTTCTTATATAATCTATAAACTACTCCTTTATCTTTAACTAATTTAACTATAAGATATCGTAATTTTAGAGTGTTTGAACCCAAAATTTAAATGTTTGATAATTGTATCAATACTAAGAATTATTCGACAAATATCGACCCATAACAAATGGGTAATTGGTCTGTAAACTTGAAAGATTAATAGTGATGGACGAGATCATGGGATAGTTTAATTTAATCATTTTGTTTAATTATAGTAGTTAATATACCATTGTTACTTTTTAATGTCCACTCAATCCTAAACGGTTAAATTGATATGGTACGTATATCTATATAATCCAAGCCATGGACTTCAAAAAAAAAATCTTGATTAGTCCAAGAAAAAATATGGTAAAAGTTGTTGATATATTGTAATCATTCATATCTTTCTAGATAGTAAGTAAAGTCCCATATCTTTTTTGAATCATCAACGTAATATAACCTTTTTCATATCATAAATATCACCTTTAATTTTTAACTTTTCTTTAAGTCCAATTTGCATATAAATAATGTTTTTGGGAGAATCTGATTATCATTCATATATAATTTATGGGTAAATTATTACATAAGTCATTTTTGTTTTCAAAAAAAATTATATTTCAATCATTTACATTATAAAAATGATTGATTTTTTACTTTGACTCTTGACTTTTAGACAAAAATATCAATTTAACCTTAGAATTTTATTTCACCTTCTTCAGACATTGATATTTTAGTTATAGTTTATAAGTCAAATATAAAAATTAATTTTTTAAATATATAATTTTATCAAAAATATATTAATAATTTAATGATTAAATTATAAAAAATCAATAATATAAATGACTGAAAATAACATTTTAAATTTTAATTGTCAAAATAATACAAAACGGGAGTAAAAGTGGCAATATCCTGATAGTTTACCCATAATTTATCGAATGAAGTTTTTTTTCCTTCACTTTCATACATGCACACAACTTATGAGAAAGTGGTAGCCAAGTGTAATAGAAAAGCATGTGATAAGATTCATTGGAGGGGGGAAATTTAGGGGGCCCACAAAGTGGCCATGTGAACTTGTTTGCTTACGGTTGTGTATGTCGCCCTTGTCTCAAACCCTATCCCATGTGCGCCGCTACAGGGCATCCCACTTCCCCCCTCTTTTCATTAAACAAAAGAGAAAATAATCCCACGGCCATGACCCGAGATAGACGGCGGCGGCGGCACGCGAGAGTCTCCCTTGTTCTCTATCACTCAACAAGGAAGTGTGAAAGCCAAGCCTTAAATACCATTCCCAATAGTGTTTCCAATACTATGTGGGATTGAGCATTACTAACACTTGTTCCCAATACTATGTGGGATTGAGCCTTAAATAGTGATATTATTTGTGAATTATAGTTAATGACTTTAGTATTTGTATGAAAAGTATTTGTGGTTCGTTTAGTTTTCATGCAATTCTAATTTATTTTCAATTGATTGTAATTGCACGATAACAATTTATTTTTTCTCGCGAGTGATGCAATTTTTTTTAATGTTTTGCTTAAAATTGCAATAATCGCGATTGATTGTAGATTGACTTTTAATTATGACATATTTAATCGTATAATACTAATGCAATTGGTTGCTGATTTAGTTGTTTTAAGGTGCATGATTGTTAATTGTTTCCTGAATAATCACATAGTATTGGAAACAAGTGTTGGTAATGCTCAATCCCACATAGTATTGGAAACACTATTGAGAATGATATTTAAGGCTTGGCTTTCCCACTTCCTTGTTGAGTGATAGAGAACAAGGGAGACTCTCGCGCGCCGCCACCGTGGTCGTGGTCGTGGTAATACGTGTCTTCGACACGTCCACGCGAATACTATCTTTTTAGAGAAAATTCTTAATAAACAAATGCAATACCACCAGTCGTTGCGATTTTGGACTATCGCAACGCGAACTTCAACTGTCGCGTACATATATAATTGTTTTAGAAATAATTTAGGGTGATTTAGTTTATATCTATTATTTTTTTAATTATTAATAATGCACACATATCGTACATATATAATTGCTCTAATTTAACATAATCCATTTTCATCGATGTAATATTAATAAAATTGACAAAGTTATAATCTTTGTATTTCTTTGAGTCATAGATTTAAATCTCGTATTAAATTTTTTTAATTAATTAAAGTGATTTATCGATTCAGTATTCGTAGCGATTGATTTGGCATATACTATTGAAAATGGTCAAGAAAACTAATGCATGAGAGAATCTTATTGCTCCTATATACCTTCTGTGCCGGGAATTTTATGCTTTTAATAAATATATATTATTGCAGCTAATTAATGTAATCTCAGTTCAATGGTTTTAAGAACAGATCCATTCCAATTTATTATTGATAATAATATTGTGATTCTTTATATATATATATATATATATATATATGTAAGTGTGGTTGTGGTTGCACTTATGACAATGAAATGATCCCATGTTCACATCTTAATATGCTACTTTTAGTGAAGGTTTAAAATATTAAGTTATTTTTTAAATTCCTTTTATCGTTTGTATAATAAAAGAGATTGTTTAATATTAATCCGAATATCTAATATTAATCTAGATAAAAATAATATTTATTGTCAAAATATCATAAGTTCGCTCGATTTTAATTTATTTTAATTAACTTTAATGAAAGGAAATTATTTGACAAGCACTTACTTTAGCCACCCTAACCTATCTTACAAAATTAAGCAAAGCAGATTAGAAGGAAGCACCGTTCTAATCTCTATGTATTTATACGTATGTGTGGAAATTAAAAGATTGCATTATATGATAGGGTTTAGGGTTTTCAGATGGGAGAAAATGAAATGGTTTCAAGTGCAATGTATTTCCACCCAAAGACTGACAAAATCAAGTTACATTTACTATTTTTTTTATTATTCATGCTCAAGCTCCTTCCAACAACAACAATTGAAAGTTTTGTTTGAATCAATCAACATTATGAGATAAAATATAAAAAAAATCTAAAAATTTGAGAGAGACGACTGTCTCCATGTGTCCCGGTCCATCTCTGTGAACATCAACAACTCATATTAATTTCTATTTGTTGTTACATATAATTAAAATAATATAATATATAAAAGAAATAAGATTTAAAAATAATCATACAATATATATTATAATTAAAGATGAGATAAAATCGAATTGTTAAAGAATTAATGGATGATTATGATATGAAAAGGAGAATCAAAGGAAGAAAGTAGTAATGAGATGGATATGGCAAATGGGTAGTGGCGGATATCCTGTCTCACCTTTAGGTTGCGAAAAGGGACCATGCAGATTGAAGTCGTCAACAAGGGGCCAAAACCAGAAAACCCCTACCATGCAGGGAACTATGGAACGGCAAGATCGGGCTCAATATCAGCAAGGAAATGGCCCTTTTACTCCTATTATTAGGGGTTGCACTCATCACAATTAATGGAATTAGTACCCATTTTCACGTGTGATTGATACCCGGTCAAGGTTTTTGAATTTCAATAATTAAACTTAATAGGTGATAACTACGGATGACAAACGGGTATAATTTCATGGATTCCGCATTGTATACGTTCCAATTAGAGTGGAGATGGGTATAACTTTAGTGGGTAGTGAGCGGTTGTGGATTTAGAAAGTAGTATCTGTCGCGGGTAGTGGGCGGGTGATGGGTTTGAG